GAGCGCCCCTAACCACCTGGCCATGCTATCACGTTTAGATACTTGTTTGTTGTTATAATTAAAAATAAATAAGCACAGGAAAATGGAAATTACGAGTCACACCACTGTTTGTCAAATTCTCATTTTCTCCTTGTTAGTATAGCTTGGTATGAATTTTCGCTTCTTTTTTTCTTGTTACGTACAAAGCTACACAATGGACTATCTGTGTTCTGCCCACTGCGACTATGGACACCTGATTTTTAGCGTTATAAGTATTCAGACTTACCGCTGAGTCACTGGGGGGAGGGAGGGGAGGATTAGGTATGGAACTGTTCTGTATTCAACTTTGAGTGATTTATAATTAAACGAATTAAAAATTACTATGATGTTAAATTCTTGAGTACAATGGATTTAGTGTTTTACTTCGAAACATTTTGATAGACCTAGCGTCTCAAGAAAAGTTTGCTCAAAACGCGTCCAAATGAAACTTGAGCTAAGAATAACATACTTACAGCAACGAACCTAAGCTGAGAATAACATACTTAGCAACGAACCTGAGCTGATAATAACACACTTAAAGCAACGAACTTGAGCTAAGAATAACATGCTTATAGCAACGAACTTGAACTAAGAATAACATACTTAAAGCAATAAATTTGAGCTAAGAATAACATACTTAAAGCAACGAACTTGAACTAAGAATAACATACTTAAAGCAATAAATTTGAGCTAAGAATAACATGCTTAAAGCAACGAACTTGAACTAAGAATAACATACTTAAAGCAATAAATTTGAGCTAAGAATAACATACTTAAAGTAACAGACTTGGGCTGATAATAACATACTTACAGCAACGAACTTGAGCTGAGAATAACGTACTTACAGCAACGAACCTGAGCTGAGAATAATATATTTTGTGACAAAATGATAAAACATGACAGTGCCTCCTCTCAAGAATTTGATTGTTTTAAAAAAGAAACATATAGTGCTTCTGCAAATGCAACTTATATTGGCATTAATTTTCTAAATGTTGTGAGATGGGTAAGAAGCGTAAAGATAGATCATGATGAGGATGAAGGCACAGAATCAACAATTCACGTAAACAGTATTGTTGGAGGGCAAAAACACCATTTACAACATCCCTTGTAAATATGGACTCCAAAAACAACAGAGAAACAAACAAACAAATAAAAATCAGAATATAGGAGCATAATAAACATAATCTATAATATTGCAATTGCACGCCATTCCAGAGAAGAAGATCAAACAATATGATGAGATTCACAAACGT